TTGGATTATGGCAACTACATCATCATCGGATTTCCTAGATTTCTTTGGATCCATCCTTCCAGTGGTTAGAGCTTGGATCAAATACCAGAATGGGGTCTTTTGAAGCTCTAGAAGATGTTTTGAACTGAATTTAAGTGTTTGAAAGAAGGAGACGACAGATGAGAGGTTGGATCGGAATTGAATGCTGTAGTGAGCTCTCTTTCTGTGGAGTTTAACAGCTTTTTTCCCTCTTGAGCTTGAGTCTTTTGAAGTTGGGGTACTCATCTGGATGCTAGTTGCTTCATCAGCTTGGACTTGTGTGTTTTGGGAAGGAGTTTGTGGTGTTTTAGTGCTGGTTTTTGATCTTAGATGATAAGAGGACTGAGAGAGTTGTTCTTTCTTCCTTGGTGTTTCTAGTGTTTTGCTGCTGGTTTTTGATCCTAGTCCATAAGAAGACTGAGACAGTTTCTGTTTTTTGCTTGGTGTTTCCGGTGTTTCGCTGCCTTTACGTTTTGCCATTTCTAGACAATGATTAAAGCATAGAGATGTCAACATTAAATCCCAGAGAAAAATGGACATGTCAGAGAAAATTACAGATAAGGGAGAAAATTGGAGATGCCACAGAAAATTACAGATAAGGGAAAATTATAGAAAATTTGACATGTCAGAGAAAATCAACACAGCATCATAAACATGGGAGAGAAATTTTCAATAATTGTTTAAATTACAGATAGAAGTAAACATACCAGAGAAAATGAATGATAGAAAAAAGTAAACATGGCAAGTGAAAGAAAATTTGCATTCCACAATTAGCAAAGATAAAATAAACAAAGTAATGTAAACATGGCACTGAGAAGTACACCATATTGAAATCAAGAATTGAACAAAATAAACATACCAGAGAAAAATGCACATTCTGGAGAAAATTACACATTCTTGAGAAAATTTCCATTCCAGAGAAAATTTTAATTCATAATATTAAAATGCAAGAAAAATTTACATACACAAGCAGAGAAAATTAACCATGATAGAGACACTCAAGGGGGGAAAGTGGTGCGATGTGGTCAGAGAAAATTAGAAATACCAGAGAAACTTAGACAGGGGCAAGAGTGTAATTGACATTGCAGAGAAGGATACATATTCCAAAGAAATTTACAAAGTAGAGAAATTCATAGACAAAATGACAGAAACATGTTCAAGAATAAGATCAAAATTCAGAGAAATAACTTTTTCTCAAAGTACATATGGCAGAGAAAATTCAAAAAAGAAACATTCATTCCAGTCCACAATATTAAAATTCCAGAGAAAATTTAAAATGACAAAGACACAAGGGAGGAAAGTGATGTGATGTGGTCAGAGAAAATTATAAATACCAGAGAAATTTAAGACAGAGGCAAGAAAGCAATAGACATTCTAGATTAAGATAGACATTGCAATTAAAAATACATATTACAGAGAAATTTACGGAGCAGGAAAATTTATAGACAGAATTACAGAAACATGTTCAAGAATAAGATAAAAACACAAAAAATTGTTGTGAAAATAAACATGCCAGAGAAAATTGAAAGAAGAAAATTACATTAATAAAAAATCAGAGAAATTCAAATGCCAGAGAAATTTACAGATAAAATCACACAAACATGTTGAAGAATAAGTTCAAAATACACAGAAATAAATTTTTTCAAATTCAGGTAGCTTTTTATTACGAAATTGAAACCCTAATTTATGAAAGGTTATTATAAAATGCAATTAACTGTGTTTCCAGAGAAAATCTAGTTGTATTGTAGAAAAACTGACCAGAGTTAGGATGAAACTTGAATGATGAGCTGATATGGCCCGCGATGAAGATGCGACGTGACGAAGATGGACTGAGATAATGATGAGCAATGAAAACGAAGCTTTAACCTAGGTCAGAGAAATTTGTGAGGAAGGAATGAGAATGATTTTTGGAGAAGATAACGAAGCTCTAATGTCGATGGTGCAGATGATGTTGAAACCCTAATTCTGCTGTTCTCCTGTTCGTGAAGATGCTGGATGTTTGGAATGTAACTGAGACGTCGGAATGAGTTTGGTTCTGTATTGATTTTGGCGAGGGTATTTTGGTCCACAAAATAATTAAAAACGCGCGCCAAGTTGTTTCAGGGACGTGAGGCATCACTATCTTTTTGTGTGTCCTTTATCCTCTAAATTGTTATTATTAGGGACCTTAAAAAAAAATCCCCAACTCAAAATACAATTCTATTCTCAAATCATAATTCTAAAATTCTACCAAATACAATTTAAATTTTCTACTAAATAAATAACCAAATATCTTTCATAAGTATGGTATGAATGTAAACCCCACATTCATATGAGACATTCAAACATTTACTTAATAAAAAATTTATAATTCATAATATTTTCCTTTAGTTAAATATTAGGATGATAATCGTCACCGTCTGAGAGTTGGTTGAAGCTCACCACTTACTGTCGGTGGTGACAGCAAGTGAGGAAAAAATGAAAATTTACATTTTGAAATTTTAAAAAAATTTAAAATTAATTTTATATTTTTGAAAATGAAAATAATATGCTCAACAAATTTTTATTTTCAATTTAAAAAAATAAAAATGAAAACAAAAACATAAATAAAAAATAGGAAATAAAAATGTTATTAAACAACTTTTTATAATTTAGATTTTAAACTACCAATTGTCAAAGAAAACAAAAAAGAAGTATCATTGTAAAGTTGTTATTGGTAATCATAGTCCATTATTATGGAGGTTAGGCTGCTGATTGTGTCTCCTTCTGTCCCATTCTAGGATTATTTTCATGATTAAAAACATTTAATTTGTAAGATTTAATATATCATCTATATGATAAATTAAATATCAATAATCACATTACTTGAATAGTTTATTATCAAAACTTCACTTGCCAAATGAATTAAACAAGTTAGGATATGAAAATAGTCCCCCAATGGGTCCCAAAAAGGGGCACCCCTCCCTACCATCTGCCTTGCGGAAAGGCAGAGACCCCAATTCCATAATTATGTGGTTGTACGTGTTTTATGGCACGTAAATCAGCTTAACCAATGGTAGAATCAAAATCTTTTTCCTTTTTTCTATTAGTTCCAATATAAAATATTATTTCTAACAATATTGCATGAGAAACAAGGAGAATAAAATAAGATAAATCATTTATAGGTGAACGTATAAAAACACTATTGAAATGTATAAAAATATATATATATTATTTCAATACTTGATGATATAGAGGGTAAAGTCTTTCCAGCTTACAATTTTATTTTTTTATTTTTTTTATTTTTCTACCCATGGGAATGGAACATCTCTCTAACTACTTTGGTAGAAATTAAGGATTTCTACCCATGGGAATGGAACATCTCTCTAACTACTTTGGTAGAAATTAAGGACTTTGGTCGATTAAAGAATTCTCTCAAAATCTCATGTGTGTATTAGTCAAAAGTGTGACTTCCACAACTCCAATCACTCTTTTGCCGTCAATTTGAAGACATCAACTTTATGCACTCAGGTCAATAAATTAATAAATACTTCAAAAACAAACAAAAAAAAAATTACTCCAACTAATTGACTTATGTTAGCCACAATAGAAAATAAAAAAAAAAATTAATTTAATTTAAATTTAGAGTTTTCTGCCCCCCTCTCAAGTAAAACAAAACTAATAACATGGTTACAACAGCTTGTTTGGTTCTGATTTAAAATAATAAAAAAAATTAAAAATTCTACTTTTTATCAACTTTCCAAAACACCACTATGTTAAAAAGAGGAGTATTTATATACAATTCTTAATTTATAAATTTATACACTATTTTTAGATACACCTAACATAAATATATTTAAAAAGTATAATATTTACAAAAAAAATCTTTAAAAAATACACTAAATACCAAAAAATACAAAAAAAATATAAAAAATAATACATTTTTCGTATTTTTGTGTATTTATTAATTTTTTAAAATATTTTATTATTTAGATACATCTAAGTAAGATGCATCTAAAAAAGTTTAAAAAATTGCTTAAAATATTAAAAATATTCACCAAAAATAAAAAAATACGAAAAACAAAAACTCAATTTTCAAAAAACTGAATTTAAAAAAAAGTAAAACCAAACACACTAGATCTTCCAAGATTGAATGTCTAGCTCACTCTACTATTATACCACACTAGAAGAAACCATCCAACTAGAACAACCACATCACAAGCTAAAAAGAAAATGCCAAAAGAAAGGTACCATAACAGTTCTAAAGTTGCAAATGTAAATTCATACCTTAATGACAAGAAAAAGATATTAAACTCAAAGTGGTCACCATGGTTCTTTCTCTGATGGCCTCCAAACAGTGCATCAAATCTTGTAGCATCCAATGTATCAGCTACCGACCAATTTTTAATCAGGTTGTGAGTTTTTTACCTTTATATAGGGAACAGAAATGAACAGCGCCAAATCTAACTAGAGCTGCAAAAGATGATTGATGTGGGTAACACTTGATTTCATGATTCACAATTATGCTTCTCACTTCCTCTTAATAGAAGGTAAATCAGCACCTCATTCACTAATCAGGTGGGCTACTCTGCATTATTACTCAAGGGCTCATGCAATTTTGTCAACAAAAGAAATGAGCTTAACAAGCAAAAGCTGCAGCCTCTACAAGGACCGAATGTAGTTGACAATGTCACTGCATTAAGAATAACAATGCATTAAAACCCAACAGAACTTGGTGGCTCCTTCTAATTCTTCACCATCCTCCTTACCATTTCTTCTCACCACTCCATTTAGGTAGGGATTTAATAAATCCCATGGAAGCAGATGATCCCACCTTATATAGCATTACAATGGATATTCAGTCAGTGTTTTAGGTCGTCTTCATCCAACATTTTGGGTACTTCGCTCACTGCAGTCCTTATGAAAAAGATACTGCTAATACTTGTTTCTACCAATCACAAAAGAAAGGGCATCGCAATAGAAAAGCTGTTTCTAATAATCAATAAGGCGTAATTTGGAGATCATGGCACAAATTAGACTTTGCTTTCCATTCAAAATCAATATGATTTAAAGACTAGTAGTAACACAAAGGATTGAGTTAAATATGTAATACATAACCAGAGCTACCACTAGTTAAAAATAGTACCAAAATACAAAAGAACATGTATACACCCTAAAAGTGCACAAAAGAATCATAATGTATGATTTCAAGGTAATCACCTCCGTGTGCCCCCTCAAGAAGACGATAATTTAACAGCTTTAAATTCCGGGTGAAGCAAACCAAGCTCATCCTTGACTTCAAGAGGATTGCTCGTCTCATTTCTCGTTCTCTTAACCCTCCGACTTGCTAGTGACTTGTGTGTAAACCCATATATTTGCAGAATCTGATTATCCCCAAAGTTGAATGCGCGATCCATTTGCTTCAAGCACCTCTCCACTGGATAATCCCCAAACTTCCCACAAGGCTTGCAACCAACAAAATGGGTCACGAGAGGCCATCTATGATCACCAAGACCAGGATGGTAATTCTCAATCATCTCCTCATACCTATCCACCAAAATGCCCCAATAACCGTGCAAATAATAAGAACTCTCAAGATACACCTTCTCACCCCACTTATCCTTCTGTGTCACCAACAGATAAACCATAGCTGACTGATCATCAGCTTCAAAAACAGGCCTATCCTTGAGCTCCCTAGTGAGTATCTTACCAGCTTCTTCCCTAACTTTCCCTTTCGGACCCATTGGAGCCCAAACATCAAGAAGGTCCAATGACCACTGACAATTCCTCAACAAAAAACTACCTGTATTCAATCCAATCCAATTCTTCTGATCATACACCAATTCATCCCAACCGTGCATCACCAAATTATGATCTTTATACCTCTCCCACGGGACCTCAAAAGCCATATCGGTAAACATAGCATCACTATCCATCCACCATAAAAACTCAACCTCCGGGTGAGACAACAAAAGCTTCCGAATCAACGGTAGTTTCGCCCAAAACCCGGCCATTTCAGCATCAAACAAAGCCATATTGTAAAAAACCTCAATCCCATGTAACCTACAATAGTCAATCTTGTTCTTAATTGACTTCAACAAGTAATGATCCCCAACCGGGTTTTCACACGGTTTGGGCGACGACCCAGTAATCAACAGAACCCTAGGTTTATTGGGTCTGAGAAAATTAGGGAAATTAGGGTTTCGTTTAAGCCATTCACCTCTCTGCTCGTCCCAATTCGAGATCTTGGGTCCGAGGCTATAGGGCTTGTTTGGATCAGGCTTTTCGTCCTCGCCTTCGTCTACCAAGATCTTTTTGATGTCGAATGTGGCGTAACTGTTGTCCAAGTCTGTACCGGTACCGGTGGCGGTGGTGGATTGGGCTTCTTCGAGGACACGGCGGGGCTCGACGCGGCGGCCGGAGTAGAAGCGCTCGCGGATCTCGTTGAGGTCTTGTTGTGGGGTGCCGAACTTGCCGGCGCCGAGATTGCCGCGGATTACGACCACCGTGAGGACGAGACAGAGAAGAGTGAGCTTACCGTTTCGGAGGATTCTCTTGATTTTCCATAGCCGGCGAGCCCCGAAGAACTGGCCTAGCATTTTTTTTTATATTTTTTTTGGGTTGAATAGAGGGATTCGGTGATGGATTTGGGGAAAGTGAGGTCCTGAAAGAGGTGGGGATTGAAGGGATTTTAGGTTGTGGACATGGAAAAGGAAAGTGGGGAATTGGGTTCTATTTGAATTGATTGATGGTGGGGTTCGAAATTTTTTGGGGATTGGGTTTGATTGATGAATTGGGTTTTGGAAATGTATTTTAGGGTTTGAGTGGGGATTTTGTCTTCTCGGCGTCGGTGAAGAGAGAGAGCTGATACAATGGAGGTAAATTCAGAGACAGAGTGTGAGAAAGAGAGGAAAAACAGAGGGGTGTCCGACACGAAAATTATTTCATCATTTTTTGTCCAAATCTTTGCACGTAATCGCGTATTCGAGGATTGTTTGCTTGTGTCTGAGGTGTATGATGATGTTCTCTCGTGGGTCCCAGCAGTAAAAATCTGAAAAAGTTAATGTGAAAAATTAAAATAATTTATATTTAAACCAGGGGTCAGGGCGGTCTTGCCCCTCTCCAAGGTTCTGCAAATTTTGAATTTTTATATGTATGTTATTTAAGTTTTTTTTTTTATATACAATAATGATTGAGACTTATTTTTTAAAAAAATTTCACAAATTTTTTTGGATTTTAATTATTGATGGTCCCTGTAGGAGAGGGTTCGAGAAAGGAGTTGGAAAATTCGAAGATCTTCAAAGATCCTTGAAGAACAACTTCGAATTCTCTAGAATATGATGAGAGGCTTAGATTCTTCAATAATCTCAACTTAGGAACACAACAACAAAGGAGATGATGGAGATAAGAGATTGGGTGAAGAAGAAGGCAAAATGGCTAGAGAATAGAATAATGGCAAGGCTCTCCCATTGATCTCCCAGATTGACTGCAAGATTGAAAGAGACTTAGGATAAGAGAGAATTAATTTGAAGAATTGAGGTAAGTTGGAGAAAAGGGTTTGTTTGTTGTTTGAGAAGTTGAAGTGGCTTTACCTATGATCTTGAGGCTTGAGATTGATGGCTTAGGGCCTTGGCGGTTATCGACAAATATTTCCTTAAGACAAACCTTTAGAGGTTTAGGAAAGATCACTGCAGTCGTGATGGTCCACCAATGTTCAAAGCTTTTAGTGAGATCAAAGACAGGCTTGAAAAAAGTAAGTGTTGAAGTTATTGAGGAGAGTTTCCTTCTCTGTTTTGATTGGCTTTGCTTGAGAGGAGTCTTTGATGCTGATCCTTTTTCTTACTTCTTCATGGGTGGTAGGATGAAAGTTAGGATAAGGTATGCACTGAGTAAGCCCAAATTGTCTTACCCGTTGCTTGGGGCAGTAGCTTTCAAAGCTGCAACTAGACTTTTTTGTAGAGAAAATTGAACATCCAACTAGGCTTGAAAACAGATTCTCCACTTCACCGGTTGGGTGCTGGAGGTTATTCGACGTCTGTTTCCCAGGATACGACGGTTAGACTAGCTACAACAATGCACCGACTGAGTAGCTTCGGCGAACAGAACATTTTAGTACTCTCTCACAGGAAGAAGGTAATATACAAACTGAAGAAAAACTTTTTAAGACAAGAAGAACCAATATTCTAGGTAATGAAAATGAAGGAGATGGCCTCCTTTTATACACATGAAGGGAGAGAGGAAAAGTCACCTGCCATCAAGGCCCATCACAAATGCATAAATGAATTCTGTGTTAAACTTGTAAAACTACTGGAATAATTCATCATCATTATAGAGGAGTTACACACATTTTATATACCTGTGTAATGTGTATAATTATGCAGTCCACAACACTAGCTTGGCCCAAAAAGATTAAGATGGGTGGGCCAAGTCCAACCCCCACACTCAACTCATTCCAAGCCCAAGTCTCAAGATCCATGATCCATGTGTAATAACCCTCACCACTGTTTACTGATTAAACTACTGATTACTGCTAAACTAAGACTGATTATGATAAGTAATTGAACTGACTGAAAAACTGAACTGATTGATTGAATGTGCTAGTTTAAATACATATCTATCTGTTGACTGTTA